CTTTGTCTTTGGACTCAGAAGTCTTTTGAACTCTTCCAAGTCCAGGGTGCCCTGGGGCGGGAGAGGGGGGCAGGCCGTAGCTAGAGGGAGGTAGGTTAGCTAGAGGTAGCTAGTAGAAGCTAGGTTGTTAGTAGCTACAGGACACTGCCCCCGCCGCCCTAAAGGCGGGAGGGGGAGCTTCCTTGAAGAGGCGCTCGCACTATTCATTTGGTTCCTAGATGTTTTGGGAAACTTAAGTATTATATAGCATCGCTACTAGTTGCAAGCGGTTCCCCAGGTCGCCTGGTAGTTTTATAGCGGTTGGCATCTTTTGTTACTGGTATTTACAGTGGTTTTGTGGTGTACCCGCAGGGTGCCTGGGGAGAGCGACGCATCCAATATTTGATGGTATAGGGGTTACTTTGTTATACTACATGTTGGTTGCGTTTTTGTGAGATGAGTAAGGGGGGGAAGTTGGAACGTTTGTTGCGTTTCATGGTTCAGTGTCGTGCAGGTTTTGGCTTAATGGATTCGGAAGCAGTTTTAGGTCCGTGTAGTGTGGTGTTGTTGCGGTTGGCGTTCGAATGTGATCGAAGTTTAGCTCGTTTTGACTTTCCAACTCCTTTACAGCCGTTTTTTAGTGGATCCGTTTGTGTTAGATTCTTTGATCGAACTGGCGACCCGGGAATTGGACGATGTGAGTGCTTTGTGTTGAAATGTTCTTTAGATGAAGATCGGTGGGTGAAACCAAGCTAGTTCTTGAAACGGATCACTCAACTCACGAAGTGGAAAAAGTGGTGCGAATGGAGCAAGCGCTGGGTGGGAGTGACCAAGCGGTTCCCCAGGCGTCTTGTTTACACCAGGCGACCTGGGGAAGCGCAACCTACTAGTTACAAGGGCATTGCTACTAGTAACAAGAAGCTACTAGTATTCTCTTTTGTGCCTCATCAGTGATACCAGCATACTTCAGCTTTGCGCCAGTTCTTTGCGTTGCCAGCCTGCAAACGAACGTCGAATGCAGTGCATTAAGAAGAAGAAAACAACACTAACTTAGGCCTCTTTTCCTGAAGGGTGTAGAGAAAGGACTTGATGTCACGGCATCTAATGACAGCTGCAAGCCGAGACACTGCCATGGGACGATGTTGGAGTGATGCTCCATCACCTCAGCAATAAGTTTCCTATGGAACTAAATATGGTTTATGTCTACATCGCTAGTAGGTTGAAGGTCATTGCTATTAGAAACAAAGAAAGAAGAAAAAGGAAGATAGGTCTAATATAGCTCCTTTACTTGTTTGGTCCACTGAAGCCGAGGAACTGTGATGAGCACCTCATCGTCTGGCTTCAGGTTCGTGCTACCCCAGCTCTCCGCCACCAAGTTGATGGCATCTGTTGCGCCCGATGTGAAAATGATCCTCGGATGTAAAATGCGAAGTCTGTGGTTCCTTTTCGGTCAAACACTCACGGGGCATTGTCTTCAAAGGACTGCTCCGTCAAGGCCGTCATTAAGTTTCACGCCTCTCCACCGTAGAAAAATGTCGAACTCTTCAAACACCGCAAAATCCAAAGAACAATAGCGATGAACAACAACAACAACAACCGTAAAATTCCAAACATGAAGGGAAAACTTTTGGCCGACAGAAAACTGAGAGAAAGTGCAGGTGGGTGTCTCCTGTGGACTTGCCGCCCCGATCAGCTCTGCCACGCTGCTCCTTGCATGCTCGAAGGCCTGCAAACTGACCAAAAAAAGGATACGTTCCAAATGATGCATTTCCATGTAAAAACCATGCATCGCTTCTAGGAACAAGAAGCTACTAGGGGCTCCTGGCCTTACTACTAGGAGCAAGGACGCTACTAGGGGCTCCTGGCATCGCTACTAGGAGCAAGGACGCTACTAGGGGCTCCTGGCATCGCTACTAGGAGCAAGGACGCTACTAGGGGCTCCTGGCCTTACTACTAGGAGCAAGGACGCTACTAGGGGCTCCTGGCATCGCTACTAGGAGCGATCGGACGCTACAAATGATGCATGGCCTCCGTGGCGCGTTCCGCCAAGGCATAAGCCCCCCGGTGCACATTGGCAGAGTGTTCCTGGATACTAAACGGCTTGAAAAGTCTAGGTTCAAACACTATTTTCTCGAGACAATAAATCGACAACCGACGTGTACTTCTATAATGGCCTCCAACCTGGTAGCAATGGCCTCCAACCTAATAGCAATGGCCTCCAACCTAATAGCAATGGCCTCCAACCTAATAGCGATGGAGTTTCTAGTTCATTCATGTCATCCTTAAAAACTATGGGAAAATGAAAAAATTGCACCTTTCACGCAATGCAGTTCTTCAGCCCAGCATCGTAATACTCGGTGAGGGCTTGTAGCACGCAAGCAGGTTTCTGCGACGTCGCCTGACAAAACTCATGGCCTGGCTCTTGGATGATTTCCAAAAATGACATAAACACGGCTTTAAACATATGTTTAACAAAATATAGTTATATTAAATGTACTATTCTTTTTTAGCGGGTGTAGGCCGCTAAGTCGACTTAAGTATTTAGCTAGTAGTAAGTAAGTAAAGAAGGTAAGCTACTAAGCTTAAGTAGCTATTAGCTACCGGACGCAGGAAAGCTCAGAATTCTATTCATGTGGTTCCTAGTTGGTTTTTAGGAAACTTAACTTAACAAATATCCTTCGTATGTTCTTGTTGATTCTTTCCGGAAACGTGTTCTTCTTTCTTAACTTGAGAGGAGGGAGACACGAAAGGTAGGACAGCGGGAAGAGAAGAGAACGCGAGAGGCAGGAACAAAAATGCAATGTTCGACATGGTGATTTATCCCCTCGGAGGCGACCTTTCGTACATATATGTTCATATGCACTTTAAATGTTCAAACATGTGCTCTCGAAATGTTCAAAAAGATTCTTAGGAAAACAAACTTGCCCCATGGCTCAGATCATCGGTGAGCATTGAATCGGAACATCATAGGATTTGAACTATCCTGAAACCATAAGAGGCTCACGAAGACGCTCCCCAGGAGAGAATTGACGTGCTTCACAAAACAAACTCTAGGTATGTATCCCCTCGGGGAACACCTTTCGTGATTAGAATTTCATATTCACTCTTTCTGAATGTTCAAGAGGGTTTCAACTATCCTGAAATCATGAGAGGCTCACGAAGACGATCTCCAGGAGAGAATTGATTTTAGAGGGGGGGAGGTCAGGGGGGGGGGGGGTTGTTTTAAAAAAAAAGTGGGGGGGGGGGGGGGGGGGGGGGGTCTGAATTGAGCGATCAATTATTAGACCCGGACGTCCCAACACTTGCTTCGCAAGACAAACTCAAGGTATCCCCTAAAGGGCTACCTTTCGTGATTAGACATGTTTAAACAAAATTGAACCGTTTCGTCCTCTTTTCTTCAGACATGTTCTTCCATGTTGTCATTCTTTACTAGTAGTTTTTTGTTCCTAGTAGTAAGGCCAGGAGCCCCTAGGAGCGTCCTAGGCTCCCGACCCCGGAGTCCAAGTAGATCAGCGGCACTCCGGCATAGGCGTCCGTCCGCAAAGCCGCGAAGTCGGGCCGCACTTCTGCCGCCAAGTCGCCTGCCGCACGCGGCGCGTCTTCTGAATGCAAAACAAAGCATGTTAAACATTCACAAAGCATGCTAAACCTAATAGCAATGGCTTCCAACCTACTAGTTAAATATGTTAAACATGTTTAACAACAAAGCATGTTTAAATCATTTCAGCATGCTATCCAAATAGATTCAATCTAAGAATATCCCAACCGAGGTCAAGTTTGACTCCAGAGTCATGGACCCTGTCAATAAGCAGCAAGTCTGCACCACCATCCTCATGGCCACTAATGTGCCAACAGCGTGCCTTGTTAAAGGGGCCCTTACTTCCTCTGTTCTTCTTATCCTTCCTCTGTTCTTCTTGTTCTTCTTCTTCTTCTTCTTCTTCTTCTGGTTGTTCGTCTTTCTAGATTTAAACGGAGGAAAACGAAGACTAACGAAGACCAAAAACAGGAACCTCGACTCCGGCCTGGGGCTGAGGAGCACGCGGGCTCCGTCACCTCCGCGACCTCGGCCTTCTCCGCCACGACGCCCCGACGCCGCACGAGGCCCTGAGCAGCGCCCAGTGCGGCAAGCGTCGCTGCACGCCGCAGGGACGCCACCGATGTCGCCTGGGACGGCACTTGAGATGCTGAAATTCGCTAGTAGGAACAAGTGCCTTACTAGTAGTAACAAGAAGCTACTAGGAACCAGGAACAAGTGCATCGCTTCTAGTAACAAGTGCCTTACTAGTAGTAACAAGAAGCTACTAGGGGCTCCTGGCATCGCTACTAGGAGCAAGGACGCTACTAGGGGCTCCTGGCCTTACTAGGAGCAAAGGACGCTACTAGGGGCAAGGGGCATCGCTACTAGGAGCAAGGACGAGGTTTGCCGAGATTTGCTTCGTCTCTGGGGAGCCCATCGCTAGTGAGTTGGGTTTGGAGGTGTCAATCGCCTGCACAGGGCCGACAAAGGAGCGCTTGGCCAGTGGAGCTCTCAGAGCCGTCCGAGCAATGTTTCCGCACCCTCCAGTGGGTCGTGCCAGAATTGGCGGCTCCATCTTCATTGAGTCACTACTCGTCCAGCGCTTGCAAGTGGTGCGTAAACAGGAAGTGGTTGTGGTGGTTGTCTGAAAATGCCTAAGAGAAACCATTGCTAGTAAGGTTGGAGGCCATCGCTTGTACTTCAGACATGCTCGAACAAAGGGCGTCTGCCAGCTCGTAGGTTCCGTCAGATCGATGTCCATTGCATGGATCCGGACTTTCCATGGGACGAATGGTCGTGACTCATCAAGATTTGGGTAGAAACTTCAAGAATTTCCAGTTTTGCCTTGGATTTACTTGCTTGTCACTGTTTGTCAGCTTTTGAGCTAAAAGCCTGCAGTCAATAGATTCCCCTTCACCAGTTTCAAATGAATACAACAAATACCACTTGCATCACTTGGTGACCAAGCACCACTTGCATCACCAGGTTGTGCTGAGAAGTGAGCTGTCCATGCGGCTCGCACGGCAAACGGCACAAAAGGCCAATCCTCCACAAAATGTGTTTTTACATCTATGCACTTGTTTCTAGTAGCTTCTTGTTACTACTAGTAAGGCACCTGTTACTACCAGCGATGCACTTGTTACTACTTCGTTTTTGGTTTGAGCCCCGGGGGTAGGCCGGCTAGGAGGTAGGTAGCGAACGTAGTAACAAGTGCCACGCTACTAGGAACAAGTGCCTTACTAGTAGTAACAATAAGAATTTAAGAGGTAGCTAGTAGCTAGGTAGCTAGTACCTACAAGTCATCTACTGCATATCAACGCAGGATAGCTCACGCTTCTTCAAGGTAAAGGCGGCGGGGGAAGCGTCCTTGAAGAAGCGCTTGCACTATTCATTTTGTTCCTAAATTCTTGGGGAAGCTTAACTACTAACAAAAAGCTACTAGGGGCTCCTGGCCTTACTGCTAGGAGCAAGGACGCTACTAGGGGCTCCTGGCCATAGTATCTGTTTGGTGCAAACCCTTCCTCTACACTGAACATCGAATTTCCAAGCCCAAAGGTCTGCTGGTACTACCAAGCTGCTAGTAAAAAGTGGTCCTTAGTAAAAGTATTCTTAGGAGGAATAATAGCGTCCCAAACCTGCCCTGTTGCGAAACACAAGCACTTCTTAGCATGACGAAACATGAATGAAAGCTGGCAGTTCTTCAGCTTGAAGGAGTGTATATTCACACAAGGTCCTTTGAGTCACTTGAAGTCACTTTGTTTATGGAGGCCATCGCTCTTAGGTTGGAGGCTATCGCTACTAGCAAGAAGCTACTAATAGCAAGAGGCTACTAGGTTGGAGGCCATCGCTGATAGATTGGAGACTGAGTTGACACGAGATAGTCCGTGCCTTTGGTGGACTCCCATGCTCAGCAGTCAATGCGGTAGGCATCGCGGCCGCCTCACAAGCGCTTCCCGGGTGATTTGTTTAAACAAAGTGCTTGTCCAAAAAAGCGATGCACTTGTTCCTAGTAGCTTCGTGTTACTACTAGTAAGGCACTTGCTACTAGTAGCGTGGCACTTGTTTATTTTCCGGGTTTTCGGGTTTAGGATGTCGCAACACCTTTTTCCTCGCACAGCTCCTGCTGTAGGTCCAGAACACTCCAAAGTTGCAGCGCATCGCCTAGCGTGAGACACAGGGACTTAAGCTCGTTCAATTCTGAACCACTGAAACCATTGAAATCATTCAAACATCGTCAAATCATCTTGCCTTTCAGGCCATCGCTAATAGATTGGAGGCCATTGCCATTAGGTTGAAATCATTCAAACCATCATAAAAGCCTGAGAGCACAGCGCGGACATCGCGGAATGAGAAGTTGAAGCGATGGTCTTTCACCAACTCCTACGGGAGAGTAACCTACTAGTGATGACCTCCAACCTAGTAGCGTCCTTGCTCCTAGTAGCGATGCCCTTTGCTACTAGCAGTTGGGAAATGCTCGGAACTTCTCACAAAAGCTGCATCTGGGACAAGCACGGATCCGTCGATCAGAGGCCGCAGAGGCATCCATGTTCGACTGAAGGATGCGCTCCAAATGTGCCTCTACTTTCGCCGTCAGCCACTTCATCGCCTCCAATGACCAAAGAACTGATCAGCCTGTTTTTTGAACAAAGGACGCTACTAGGGGCTCCTGGCAGTCTGGGCCTGGCAGTCTTGGAGTGTTCGATCTGTGAGGCTACTCGTTGGCACTTCACGCCTAAGCTGCCCAGCTCTGCATCTCAAGAGCACAGAGTCTACCAAGTGATCAAGCCGCACGTACACTCCATCGCTAGTAGGTTGGAGGCCTTCGCCAGTAACTTAGTAGCTTGGAGGCAGTGCACGCAGTGCACGCAATACCTGTCCTCGCGTGTCTTTTTCCCCAACGGAGAGGTCTTGGGGTCCCCGGTCCTCCATGCCACTTGAGGCAGCTTTGTGTCCGACTCGAATTCTTCGAGAGGTCCCCGGTCCCCCCAGAATCGGGAAGCCGACAAGCAAATGTGTTGCCCTTTGCTCCGAGTAACTTCTTGTTCCTAAGTAGCGTCTTTGCTCCTAGTAGTACGGCCAGGAGCCCCTAGTAGCGTCCTTGCTCCTAGTAGCGATGCCCGTTGCTCCTAATAGCTTCTTGTTCCTAGTATCAAGAATGCTACTAGTAGCGATGCCAGGAGCCCCTAATAGAAGCACCCACGAAAAGCACTTCGAAAAAGAACGCTTTGTGAAAGACTTTAAGTGACAGCTTCCCTCTCGACAGCTCTTAGAGCGCCGGTCCAAATCGGGGAGAACTAGTCGAAGCAAACAGGCCACTGGCGGCAGGTCCAAAAGCAACGGTTTTTTGTTTGATGCTCTTCGTATTTGATGACCACCAGTAGGCCTCTTCGAAAAAAAGGAAAGGAACGCTTCAACACAGGGCAGCTATGACTAGCCAAACGACACGATAGCGAGCAAAACAACGCTTACTAGGTTGGAGGCCATCGCTATTAGAAAACGAAAAAAGAAAAGAAAGCGACTGGGTCATAACAAGAAGCTACTAGGAACAAGTGCATCGCTACTAGTAACAAGGCGACTCGATCGGTGACTTCGCGACTCCACACGAGTCACGCGAGTCTCACACGAGTCTCACACGAGACGTCGACATGGTGAACAAGGTGAACACCGGTAGTGAGCATTTTCCTGTCGAACTGGTCCTTGCGATCAAAAAGGCTTTCCAAGTTAAGACTTCCTTGGTGTTCACCTCATGTTCCTGTACAAAACGCTAACGCTCATGTAAATGCTGTGATGACCTCGCTGGAGGTGCCTGTCGAAACAGCCACTATGACTGCAGACATGTAGCAGTGCCTCGACTTTGTGCAAGCACTTCTTCTTGATGGCTTGTGGGAAAGATTGTTTGGAAATAACAAGCATCATGAAAGCAAAGGAAGGAGGATAGAAATGAATGTTTAAAAAAATAGAGAAATAAATACATAAGAATAAACAAATTAATGATAATAATAGATTAAAGAAAGAAACTAACTATATACAGTATAACTATATAATGTGAAAGCTGCTAGGTGGAGGCCATCGCTATTCGGTTGGAGGCCATCGCTACTAGTAAAAAGAAGCTAGTAGTTTGGAGGCCATCGCTATTAGGTTGAAAAAAAGGGGTCCTAAAGGTCTGTCTTTCTCTTTCTCAGCTGATAAACTTCAATGCCTTCTAGTAGTAATTCGCTTAACACGGGAATTGAAAAAGAAGCGACAAAACTTGTTTGGAAGGTGGGACCCTGACCAAGGTCTTGGAGTTGAGCATTCCAAGTATCTCTGAGATGCCGAACAAAACACTGGAAACAAAAACTCCATATAAGAATTTAAAGTCTATTTAACTGTTTAACTTCGACAACAACTCAATTTAAGAGGGCTTGGGTCTTGCTCTTCACTGCAACGAGTGCGCATTCAAGCTCTGGACTTTAGGTCTTCCCAGGTCGTGCTAATTTGACTTAACTCTTCCTTTGTGTCATTCTTTTCGCTAGGCTGGAGGTCATTGCTACTAGGGTGGCCACTGCTTCTAGGTTCTTCTTTTCTTATCTGCTAGTAGCTTCTTGTTACTAGTAGCGTCCTTGCTCCTAGTAGCCAGGAGCCCCGAGGTTCTTCTTTTCTGCTGGTGATGTCTTTGTGTCCACCTCGAACCAGGATCACCCGCTTCATCTCTCGAGTCATCGCCTGCGAAAGGTGCTTCATTCTTCACATTTGTCTTCCCTTCCGTCTTCCTGAAACACGAAGGAAAAAGAGATGAACAGAAAGTATTTCAAGGGGTTCTATGCTATTATCCTCCTTCTTTCATCTTGCTCTTTCTTCGTATCTTTTTTTGACAGCAACCACTTTGTAACAAGAGCGTCTACAACTTACTGCCTTGCAGCTTGAATGCATTCTCTTCCGGCTTTTAAAGAGAAAAGGAAAATAAGACACATCTCAATCCTAGTGCGCATTCCAATTGTCTTCCCTCTTTCTGTCGCTTCGGTCAACGCCTCCACAAGCTGACAATATCCCAGGGAGCTGTCCGAGGGTGGCCTCGGCTCGGGAATGGCAACTCCGCTTCATCGTTGAAGTAGCTTCGGTTGATTTTGCAATAAAAGTGTTCTTACTTCAACTCACTACGTCCTTGCTCCGTTCGTAGTAAGGCTAGGAGCCCCTAGTAGCGTCCTTGCTCCTAGTAGCGAGGCCAGGAGCCCCTAGTAGCGTCCTACTCACTAGTTCATTTGTCTACTCCAACAAGTAAGCTCTTTTTCTACTAAGAAAGGGTAGCGAAGTCCCGACCTGAAGTGCGTAGCATTCGGGTCAATGCCTCCCATTCAAATTAGCCAGATCTATGGCCCAAGCATGTCCGGAAGATTGGTGCAAATGAGTTCCGCTCCATGCGACTCCTGCCCGAAGAAGCGCTCCCACAATTCATTGGTTCCTAGTAGCGTCCTTTGCTCCTAGTAGTAAGGCCAGGAGCCCCTAGTAGCGTCTTTGCTCCTAGTAGCGATGCCCTTTGCTCCTAGTAGCTTCTAGCCCCTAGAGATTCAAAGTAGGTTGGAGGCCATCGCTAGTAGGCTGGAGGCCAGCGATTTTAAAGGACGAAGCCCGATCCACTCGACTCTACTAGAGTCCTCGAGCATCACCCTGTTCAGCACAGAGACGACCTTGTTCCACCGGGAAATGCCAATATTGAAAATGAAACAGTTTTTCGAGGAAGCGCGCTAGTACATCAAAGGATGTGAAATGCTCGCAGCATGTGCCAGCAGCGTGTGCTAAAAGGTTTAAGTTGGAAAACAGAAACAACAGAAAAAGAAGTCTAATTAAAAGAAGGTATCTTTTTGTTGGAGGCCATCGCTAGTAGGTTGGAGGCCATTGAGTTGGAGGCCGTCGCTCTTAGGTCTTTTTGGGCAAGGTCTCTTCAAATTAGAATTAAACTTAATAGCTTCTTGTTACTACTAGTAAGGCACTTGTTCCTAGTAGCGATGCACTTGTTCCTAGCCAATCTCGACGCTTTGCCGATTTACCGGGCACCCAACCGACAACTCCTCGGGGGAACATGGCGATGTCGCAGCAAGCTGCCGCGCCTGGTTGCAACGAGATCTGCAGAAGCATCTTGTAGGAGCAAGGAAATACGAAAGAAACGAAAAAAGAGTTAAAAAGGAAGAGTTTAAAGGTCCGAAGAGAAAAGAAAGGAAGAAAAGAAAGCACAAAAGCACTCTTGTATGAATAAGCAAGGTAGAATCGGTAGAATCCTTTCCCTGAGGCAAACCTGCCCGTACGACGTTCGGAGTAGCAAATATCGTCCGACAAGTAAGGAGTAAACATGTTCTTGTTACCTGCAGAAAACGGTAGTGAGAAGTTCTATCCGAACAAACCAAAAAGAAAGCGAGAATGGAGAATGCAAAATAGAATGGTTAAAGAATCTAAAAGTAGATTAGGAAGCTACTAGGAACAAGTGCCACGCTAGTAGTAACAGGTGCCTTACTAGTAGTAACAAGAAGCTACTAGTAACAATTTAAAGAAGAAAACCAAAAACAACAAAGCACAATGCGTTCTAAGCCAAGGCGTGTCGGAGCGGACGTCATGCAGGAAGAGCGTTCGCTTGCCTGCAAGGCAGCGCAGGGCCATAAGAACATTGGTGCGAACGAACTCTTCCGCCAAAGTTGTTTCTCTTTCACTAAGTTCAATAGCAACTAGTAACAAGAAGCTACTAGGGGCTCCTGGCCTTACTACTAGGAGCAAGAAGCTACTAGTAACAAGAAGCTACTAGGGTGGATCCCATCGCTAGTAGGTTGGAGGCCATCGCTACTAGAAGCAAGAAGCTACTAGTAGCTCCTGGCAACTAGTTCTCTTGCTTGCCTTCTTTATTCCCGAAAGCACCTACGAAGGCCCTCCTTCAAAAACGGTACCAACTTCAACTGTCCCACTATCATCTTCAACATCATCATTGAAGGTGCACAAATGATATCAGCATCATTGTTGTTAACATCATCGTAAACACTATCACAATCATCACCATCACCATCATCACTCACAATGTCGTCGTCGTCATCGTCGTCGTCGTCATCATCATCAATTGCATAGATGCAGGGGCAACACCTGGTATATCACAACAACTAGACCACTCGTGGGTCGATGCAAAAAATAGTTCTGTCGACGAGTCTACTTTTCATCTGACCAATCTGAGAATGTGGCGTTGAAATTGTGGTTGAAATAGGAAAAACAACAACCACGGCCGGCAAACCAACGTCGCGTTTTCCCTTACATCTGACGAGAACGGCGCGATGGGGCGACGCGCAGCACGACTCGCAGCCTTCTCCACTGATCTGTCGCTGGAATCCTGCAGAGCCTCCACTGTGAACGCGCTGTAGGGCTTGGCTTCCCTCACTGATTACACGCTGCAAGCCATCGTGCTCAAACCGCCTTGGTAGGGCCAACAGGATGGCCTCCAACCTAATAACTACAAATGGCGTCCTTGCTCCTAGTAGCGATGCCAGGAGCCCCTAGTAGCGTCCTATCGCTCCCAGTAGTAAGGCCAGGAGCCCCTAGTGGCCGTCCTTGCTCCTAGTAGTCAAGAAAGCGCTCCTGCTCTCCAAGTTGCAACTGCTCTATTGAAGCGGCCCCCATATACGCCTGAAGCCACACTTGGCACTTGTGACCCAGAAAAAGGTGCGGTTTGGCCACTTGTTCCAAGAAGCTACTAGGAACAAAGGGCATCGCTACTAGGAGCCAGGAAGCTACTAGTAGCTATTTGCTCTTAGTAGTAATGCCCTTGCTACTAGTAGCGATGCCCTTGTTACTACTGGCAAGAACGCTACTAGTAGCTCCTGGCATTACTACTAGTAACAAGAAGATACTAGTAGCGGTCCTTTGGCCACTTTAACTCGTGTCCGGATTTGGCCTTGGCAGCGGGTCCTGGGTCCGTCATGCTGTTCATAGCCGCCAACTCCTGCGCTTTCTCAGACAACACTTGAAGTGCAGAAAGAGAAGCAAAAGAAAAGAAGCATGATTAAGGACATTGCATAGAAAAGAAAAATGAAAGAGAGAATTCGCATCAATGAAAGGAGAGTCAAGGGAGCACAAGCTGGAAACGTTGCCAGAGGCATCGAAAGGAGAATGAAGGTACGCAAACTATAGAAAAGAGTTGCTACTCCAATCAGAAAAACACCCACAGACTCACAATGTTTGGTGTGATCTTGAGTAGATGTTGGTGCTAATGAAGGAACTGCGAATAGTGAATAGTGTTCTTTCACACTTGGTGCTGGAAAGAAACAAAGAACAGCACCCATAAATTTGAACACAGGCCAAACAAAAAGGCTGCCTTTGAAAAAAAGTGTTGTTAAAAGGATGTGTCATCTATCATTGTTGTTTCAAGCCAAACATGCCTGAAGACTTACAGTTCCCCTCACTACCAACCAACTCCACCTGACAAACTCTGTTAGAGGATACCGGGATACCTCTTGCACCTGGCCAGCATCTCTACTTTAAAAAATCTCTTGGCAAGGTTGAAGAGTTCCACTGGAGCGTCTCGGAACAACATGTTTCCTTGAAGAAGTAAAAGAAAGAGAAGCACAAATGTAAATGGCCTTTAACATGTAGCGATGGCCTTCAAGCTAATAGCGATGGCCTCCAACAGAACATGTTTCCTCTGCTTTATCCGTGTCCTCAGCAGTCAGTGGAGGGGGATCTGGTGCCCACTGTGGCAAACGCTCCGGAAACTGCATCCGGTGCTTCATGAAGTGCCGCGTGGTCCTCAAAGCGGGCACAAAGAGTCCGCAACTTGTAACAAAGGGCATCGCTACTAGGAGCAAGGACGCTACTAGGGGCGCTCCTGGCAT